AGACTAATACATTGCTTTAAAAATTATTTCTGCTTTTCAGGTTTATACATTTCAACAATTTTACAATCATTTTAACATTTCAAAACTTGACTTACTTCCTCCTCCTTCTGCGGTTCCTTAAATGTATTTTTAATATCTTCTGCATATCCAAATTAACTTTGCTCATTTATTCATCTACTTTGAATATATACCCTTATAAAACTGCGGGTTATTACAATAATCGTGCCAATGTTCTTATCTGTTTACAATTTATCTGTAAATATCCAAGAAACCATTTCCATTCTTTTATAAAAGGTTTGTTATCTTGATTTCTTACTCTTCCGGGAAGTTTCGCCATTTCTGCATATTCCACAAGTTTTTGTATCCATTCTTCCTTTACTGGGACTTCTGCTTCTTTCCATTCTGGGGTGAGTAACATTCTTGCCGCTGTAGTAGCATATGTAAGTAAATTTCTATACAGTTTCGGTAGTTCTGTCCCTATAATTCCCAAAAGAAAAGCTTCTGGGATTGTTTGTTTTTACAAACATTATTCTAAACATCCTTTTCAATTCATTATATATCATTTCATTTTAAGATGAAGCCAGAAGAGAAGAGTACCACCTGACAAAATGTCAGGTATCAACAGAGGTAGGCAGCTGTGTGAGTTCGGCCGCAGGGCAGGGAAGTCAGAATAGACTGCTCCCTCCCCCTTCCCTTTTTTTTTTTTTTAACCTGACAAATCTGAAGCTCCAAAACAAATTAAATCAATAAGTAAAATTAACAACTAGGCAGATTAGAAGTCAGGCAGGTAAAACAGGGCAGGCTTCAGTGGAACTAGGACTGAATCAGATTATTGGTGCTTAAAATTGGAAAGGTGGCAGAGCAGCTTTTAAACTGATTGTTGGGGGGGGGGTGCGAAAGGGAAGTCAACAGGAGCTGAGCAGCAACCAGTCTGGCATAAATCATGACTAAAAAGGTTTATGAGTGTGCAAATTGGAGATGGGAAGAATTAGGCAATGAAAGCGCAGGTCCACATGAGATCATAGAAGCCAAAGTCTCATTGGGTAAAATGCATACACCATTTGGAACAAGGCACTGTGTATAGTTGCTTATATGCTAATGCTAGAAACTACTGAGCTAAGATAGGGAAGGTTATTATTTTTTAAGAGCGTAGATATATTGAGCATTACAGAAACTGAGTGAAATAGAGAACTTGTGGGACATGGTGATCTCTAGACACAAACCGTAGAGTAAGGAGTTCTGGAGGTGGTGTCATTCTTTGTGTCCAAAAAGCAAGAAATTCCCAAAGCAAGAAATTGCTGTGCGTTGAAATACGTCGTTGAAGTGCGTCGTTTAGTTTGGGAGATGTACAAACTAGAAATCTCAAAAGGAAAGAGTGCTCCACAAAACACTGTGGGTGGTGATGATACCAAGTTCCAAGAGCAAACTAGCACTAGGTCATACTATTTCCCTCTATCCCACCTGACCAGAATGCCCCAGGTGAGCATGAGATGAAGAATGAAATGAAAGAAACATCCAGAAGAGATGCTGTGGTAACAGGTGACTTTAACTACTCTCACAAGACTGGGTCATAAATCTGTTTCAGTCATGGCAATGAGGTAATATTTCTAGATGTGACCGCGCACCCCTGCACATGAAACCAGCCAGAGGGGAAAGCACCCCTAGGTTTAATCTTAAATGGGCCCCTAGACCTGGTGTGAGGTGTAAGCATTGTTGAGCCATATGGGAACAGAATTTGACCACAGTGCTATCAAATTCAACCTATATCTGCAAGTGGACAATTGCCAAGAAACTCCAACACTGTCACGTTTAACTTCAGAAAAGGAAAGGTCTCAGAAATGATGGGAACGGTAAAACAGGATGTTGAAAGGGAAATTCAGGAGGGTCAAATCTCCCCAGAATGTTTGCGGCCTATTCAAAATCACAGTTATAGACGCTTAGCTAGAATACAGGCTGGGAAAGGTACCGCCAAAGCTTGCTTGTGGTTAATGAGCAGAATTAAGGAAGCTATTTTAGACAGAAGGCCCTGACTCCAAGGCATTTGTGAACAAGTTTAAAAGCCTACCTCCCAACACCAATCCTCGAGGGAGTCCACTTCTGACATCCCTCCATGTCGCAGATCTTTATCATACTGCATGTGTTAATTAATGCCAGGGTGATTGTGTTACTGCCAACGCTGCCTTGCCAATTGCCCCTGTAACTAACTTGTTTTCATGTAGTTCCCACTGCCCTTTTTGCATTTTGCTTCCCTTGGAGACCCCTCCTCGGCACTCCATCCCCCAACCGTGCGTGCAGATATGCCTGCCAGTTTAGCATTATATTTCATACATCTGACGAAATGGACTCTGAAAGCTTACGCCAGAATAAATGTGTTGGTCTGCCCACCGGTCCCTTTGTTGTTTTTGCTGCAATATACACCTGTACCTCTCTGCAAAGAGGGAGGAGGGTGGCGCTGTGGTCTAAACCACTGAGCCTATTGGGCTTGCTGCTCAGAAGTTCGACAGTTTGAATCCCTGCAATGGGGTGAGCTCCTGTTGCTCTGTCCCAGCTCCTGCCAACCTAGCAGTTCAAAAGCACGCCAGTGCAAATAGATAAATAGGTACCACTGCGGCGGGAAGGTAAACAACATTTCTATGTGCTCTGGTTTCCGTCACGGTGTTCTGTTGCACCAGAAGCGGTTTAGTCATGCTGGCCACATGACCCAGAAAGCTTTCTGTGGACAAACACCGGCTCCCTCTGCCTGAAAGCGAGATGAGTGCCGCAACCCTATAGTCGCCTTTGACTGGACTTAACTGTCCAGGGGGCCTTTACCTTTTACCTTAACATCTTTGCAAGTTTGGGTCATTTTCATTTTTAGTAAATAGTATATTGCTTATGCTGAGCAGATTTTGCTTGCATTTGCTGTTATTATATAAACCAGGGGCTGACACCCGTCATGTTGCTTGCCGACCCCATCACCTCCCTCTTCTTACAGCTTGCTCCAAAACCACCCTTCCCTATCCCGTACAGCAGGGATGCACAATCTTTTCTGGTTGGAGGGCAAGAAATTTATTTTCCCCACCACTGGCAGGTCCAAGAGGACTGGTGTGGGGAGCTTCCCACCTGTCAGTCACCTGACACCACAGAGCTATCCCATCGAAACCTGATGGCTGGGAATTCGAAGCAAACCACAGGACTTTCAAACAGCCCTTTGTAAACATCCCAAGCAGCTTTCAAAGCTCCAAAGGATTTGAGGAGACAGGGAGAGCGGGGTTAGAGGCCTGCTCCCATCTGGTTATGTATTGGGGGGCAGGTGGGAGAGCACCTTCAAATGCCCTGCCCTCCATGCTTCTCCTTCAAACTTCTAGGAAGGAGAGGTACTGGAAGTTGAAGGGCTTATCTCTCCTTTGTCCCTCCCACCTCCCCACATCACCACCACTGCTGCTTCTCAAAGTGGTAGTGCCAACGCTGACAGTGGGAAGGGAGGCTCTAGCCAAACTGTTCTCTGATGCAGTGACCTCACCTCCTGGTAACATAGCTCCAGTGATGCTTAAGAGGGGGTGGATGCTGATTAGAGAGCAGTTTGGCAAACCACGTTTGCCGTGGTGAGGGGGCCCTGCTTCACGGAGCGCTTAGGCTTTGCAAGTCTCCACCACATTCTCACAGGCCTCTGCTGCCTATCCTGCTGCTCTCTTGTTGACCATTGTGGCTTCCACAAGCCACTACGCCTCCAACCTCTGCCACGCAGCCCCTATCTCTGCCACCAGGCCACCCTCTCTTTCATTCTTCGGTCTACACTGCCTTGCTGGCTAGGTATTTGCTAGGTTTGCAGAGCCACCTACTGGCAACTATGTGAATTGGAGTGTGATGACATTTTTTTTTCTTACTAAAAGATTATATAGTAAGAAATCAAGTGATGAAGTATTGCGATTGTAATAACAAATGGGTCCGCCCCTGCCCCCCCCCCCCCGAGGGACACATCCATGTAAATAAGGACAAGTTTGATATATAACACAGTTTTAACTTTGGGGTGGGTGTGAGTAGGCAGCAGCTAAAATATTTTCCCTGAAACATTTTTTCCTTACTGCAAAAATGTTTTGGAATATAATAGTCCCAAATATTAAAATGTGATAGAGTTATAGGGAATGCTGAGTTATTTCTCATGATCTTTCAGAACTGCAGTTGAAGTTATAATTCTTGCTATATTATCTGATGCACATAACATGAGAAGTCTTATAAAATATATTAAGGTAGTTTCCTATTTTTCCATCTCGATACTGATGACATTCCCAGCTGCTGTTTGCTTTATTGTTCTCAGTGATAAACTGCCAGCATAACACCTAACATATTTGTTTTCGATCTCATCCTCCCATCATTTCACAGCTTTTAAAAATATTTTTTATTTCCATTCAGTTTCATGCCGCTAAACCCGTTACATTAAAGCAAAGGTCTGTAACTTTTTGTAGTTGTTCCATCTCTGCTTCTGCAGTTACACCCTTGGTGTTACTGAAAATCATCATAAATGTTAAAGTCAGCCAGTTAATATTTATCCTGGGATATGTATATACTTGCATGTAGCCATGGCTGTATATTCAATATATAAAACACTTTTTAAAAGTCTGGGACAAGCTCACATTCCTTTACAATCAAACAATCTTTTGCGCAGCCAGGGACTTGCCCCTGTTTTTCTCTCGATTCTGCATTTGGTTAAATGTAGAAAAGCATCCAAAACGGCCCTCCTAGATTAGTATGAACAAATGTGGACAATAAAATGAAGTAACTGGGCACAGACTGAGATAGTTTGGGTGGCTTTTTTTCCCTTGGTGGCAAGAAACAAGAGAACCTCTTTGGCTGCCCGTATCCTTTCTCTCATGAGATGGGAGGACCAGCTCTGAGGAGGGACCAGCAAACTCCCACATTCAGCCTAGGCTTCGAAAAACAAAAGTATTCCAGTGGGTGGAGGCTTGTCCATGATTAGGGTGACCAGGGCACTGCCCCACCTGCATGCCTTGAATGGGAAAGGACCATAGCTCAGTGGAAGACCTTCTGCCTTGCATGCAGAAGGTCCTAAGTTCAGTCCCCAGCATCTCTAGGTAGGGCTGGGAGAGAACTCCTGCCTGAAACCCCACCAGCTAATGTAGCCACTGCCAGCTAATGTAGACAGTACAGAGCAAAATGAACCAATGGACTGACTCAGCAGAAGGCACTTTCCTATGTTCATGTGCTTCTTCTTGCTTACATGCTGTCTCTCCTCATCCCTCCAATGAAAAGCTGTCATGCCCAGTGGTGGAAGGTACCCATTGGGACTGGTAGGGCCGGAAGGCCAAAAGTAGGTGGAGCCAGAGCCAATAGCAGCAGGAGCAACTCCCTTACTGGTTGTAAGTAAGGCAGGCCGGAGCTGGCAGGAGGCAGACTGATGTTGGGTGTTGTGGTCAGAGGCCTGGGACTCCTGGAAATAAGAGTCAGGACTATGATTATCGGAGAGCAGGTTTATTTTACAGTTCCTTCCTTGCTTACAGCTGCATGTGGGTCATAGCCACACCATGCATAAATCATACCCTCCAACATTTCTCCAATGAAAATAGGGATGCCTCATTCCATAAAGATATGGAACTTATACCCCGCACATCTTACTTGGTTGCCCCAGCCACTTTGGGAAGCTTCCAACATACAGTGGTACCTCGGGTTAAGAACTTAATTTGTTCTGGAGGTCCGTTCTTAACCTGAAACTCTTCTTAACCTGAGGTAACACTTTAGCTAATGGGGCCTCCCACTGCTGCCACACTGCTGGCGTGCGATTTCTGTTCTCATCCTGAAGTAAAGTTCTTAACCTGAGGTACTATATCTGGGTTAGCAGAGTCTGTAACATGAAGCGTCTGTAACCCGAGGTACCACTGTATATAAAAACATAATAAAACATTAAGCATTTTTTAAAAAATCCCTATACAGGATTGCCTTCAGACAGCTCGGGGGTTGGATAACTCCATACCCTCCAGCATTTCTCCAGTGAAAATGGGGACATCCTAAGGAAAAGTGGGACATTCCGGGATCAAATCAGAAACTGGGACGGCCTCTCTAAATCAAGGACGTCTTTGGAAAATAGGGACACTTGGAGGGTCTGCATAAAGCACTGTCCCACCACTTTAACAACCATGGGGACTCCTGGGAACTGTAGTTTGTTAATGGTGCTGGGAAGTGTAGTGTTGTCCCTGGGGAGATCCTGGGATGGAGCCACCCACCACTCCTTATCCAGCCAGCCACTGACAGCAAGTGGGGATTGAATGACGACAGACTGAAGTTGGTGCCCTGTTTGGCATAATGGACCAACATCCATTGGAGGATGGTGTTGTGTCTCCAGGTCGCCCAGTTCCTTAAGTAAGGCACATCTTTCGCGTTAGTTTGCCAGGTTGTATTTCTCACCGGTGCTGGCTGACGTCAGGACCTTGTTGCTGTGTCTGCTGGGCGCTGGAATGGTGAGCAGGTTGCACTCCACTGGTGCTAACACAAACATGAGTTTATTTGGGGTCTCAATTTGCTTAACCCACTTACCTCAAGCCTCCCTTGACAGCTGCGGTGGACTTATAGCTCATGTTAAATTTTTTCACACTCTCTTGGAAGGTAAGAAGACCCTTGAGCTCATTCTGATTCTCTTTCTGGACACTCTCCAAAGCCGGCTTGCCGCGCTTTTTCCGGGCCAGACTGCAGCTGCAAGCAGAATGTGGGCCTGCCGAGCTCTCTCTGAAAATAGTTGTCTTTGTTGTGACTAAGTTATCTGGGGCCCTTTTCGCAGCAGTGCCTTTATTTGATTGACCGAAGTGCCTGCAAGTTATTTTCAAATCCAGAGTTATTTCCAATTCTGATGTAAGATCTGATTTGCTCGTGGGGTGGAGTGAGATTGTACTCGGTGACACCTTTTAATCCAAAACCAGAAGCAAATGGGTTTGTTGTGCAAAGTTGGGGTGGGGGGTGTTTGTTTTCAGAAATATCGATGGCCAGGTTCAGGCAAAGGGCTTTCTACCTTCCATATTGAATTACATTTCCTTGAGGCAGAACAAGTCCGTTTCATGCTTTCCAGAGATGTCACAGTCTTTTAAAAGACATTTTCTTTGCTTACCGTAAAGAAAAACAAAACAAAACACTGCTCTGTTCAACAGCTTTTTTGTGTGTGTCAAGTTTACAAAAGTAATGGAATTCTCTGCGTTGTGGCAGTTGTCAGAAGGAGGTTTACATGGATGGATTTTAAAGGCTACGCGGATAATGGAAAGATGGCTTTCCACTAATGCTGAGTTTTCTTGGACGTTTTCACTCCACTCAAAACGCCCTCCCTATTTTGGACCTGTTTCCCTCCGCTGCCCTGGTATTTGAAAAGGTGCGACAGTGTTTATAGGAAAATTCTAAAATCCAGACTTTTATGTGCACCACTGTGCAGCAACAGGGCTGAGAAAAAGCTGATAGGCTATGTGGGTTACGATATCATTGCATTCACTATGCGATGCCTTGATTGCCTGGAATCACATTATGAAAAAGCTCTTTAACCTTTTCTTTTCTTCTGAAAGCCAACCACAAAAGTGGCAGCAGACCAAAGAACAACGAGTGTGAACAGACATGAACTAAGCAGAGGGTGAGGGACTTCTTCATGACCCCATTAACACTATTTGAAACACATCAAAAATTCAATATAGCCCTTATGATGTTTTATCAGATCCACCAGCAAAAGCAGGTATCCACTTTACTCAATGTTGTCACACGTTTACTTCTTCTTTTCATTTATTTCTATTATTTCCTTCAATTCCTTCTGCTTCCTTCCTTTCTGGAGATTATCTACCTCATGTTCCTTCAGGCAGTACCCTAAGCCCATACTCATGAAATGCTTTTAAATCTTTTTAAATGTTGTTAATTGCTCTTAGAAGTTTTGAATGTGTGTTTATTTCATTTTTACTTGTACAGTGGTACCTCGGGTTAAGAACTTAATTCGTTCTGGAGGTCCGTTCTTAACCTGAAACTGTTCTTAACCCGAGGTACCACTTTAGCTAATGGGGCCTCCTGCTGCCGCCGCACAATTTCTGTTCTCATCCTGAAGCAAAGTGCTTAACCTGAAGCACTATTTCTGGGTTAGCGGAGTCTGTAACCTGAAGTGTCTGTAACCTGAGGTACCACTGTATTGTTTTGCTGTTTTGCTGATCTGGGCTCCTTTGGGAGGAAAGCTGGGCTACAAATTCAAATAAATAAATAACACGCAAATTCTTTTTTTAATTATTATTATTCTCACTGGCCTTGCATATAGCCGTGATGGCTATGTTCTGTCTCCTGTGTCTGAGACAATATGCTTGTGAACACCAGTTTCTGGGAATCTCAAGTTGGTCGGGTGCTGCTTTCTAGCTTCCCATAGGCATTTGGTTGGTCACTATGAGAACAGGATACTAGACTAGATATGGCACTGGCTGGATCCATCAGGCTTCTTCTTAAGTTCTTATGTATATTAGAAAGGTGCCCTAGAAATGACTGAATGTGATGCTCCTTTTGACTGGTTCCCTGCCATCGTGTGGTTTCCTTGTAATTGTGGTTCACTGGCTTTGGAGCTCTTGGAAACACATGTTAATAGAGGTTAGAAATATACACAATTAAGCAGAAGGAGCAATACCTGTCCCACAGGTATGGTGGGCTTATCGTCCATCTAGAGCTGCAACCAGAATGCAGTTCCTGCAACTGCTTCCTGGCATGTGGCTTGCAGCTTGGAGGCAGTGCCTACGTATCACGCCATGTATGTTTGTTTGCATCAGTTTCTCCCAAAATAAGTGCACATTCAGCGCACGCCTCCACTCCGAGTGGCAGTTTTCTCGCCAGGGTCACAGGAGGAAGGAATGTGACGAATACATTCAATGGCTCAACAACAGAGCTTCATTCATTAAAACAGCAGCTAGTTCCTTCAGCTCAAACACACTCCTGTCTAATTGAGGCCAGCTATTTTTCTTAATACAAATACTATTCTCCAGCTCAATTATAGTGCATTGTAACGGATTGAAATGGCAGAGCCTAATTAGCCTCTTGCTTAGATGATGACAACAGGCTACAGGTTTTATTTCAGATTCCCAAGTATATGGACAAAGCCACCCCAAACCCTGCTCTGTTACTCTCATTTTATGAAGACTGTTTTCTTTCTATTTCAGATGTTTACTTTCTTCTGTTGCAGCGGGTAGGGGGAGGCAGTGGTGACTTTGCAGAGCAATATAGCTTCTAAGGATCAAACAGCAAACTTGCTCCGATATCAGCTTATAAACTTAAATGCATCCCAAATCAAATGCAGCCAGCTAGCACTGGCGTGGTAATTATGTCAGATTTTAAAGGAGAAATAAAAATAGAACTCTTAAAAAGAGAATTCCAGTTGGGAGAACAAAAATGGCTTTCATACATATTTGTGATGTCAGTACTAAAACATGAAAGGGGTGGTGGGATTTGGTTTTAAAAGGGCTCATCGTGAATGAATCAAACTCTGATAAATTGGAACATGGTGAAAAATACACTCATCAAGAATAAAGGAGATTAGTGGCATCTTTCACATCATTCAAGCTGCCTGTGTCTAGCTGTAATCAATGTTTCAGTAGCAGAATCTGACCATAATTAGTATTAACTAGGCTTCACACAGCCCTGTACTATTCCACAAGGTAATCCAGTTTTGTATTTTAAAAACACATTTCAAACGCACCTTGTTATAAATAAACATTTTTAGAACATACAAGTAAGGTAGGATTCTGAAACTCTGTTGGGCTGAGGGCAATGCGGCTGATAAACAAATTGAACCATGGGTTTTCTAATTGGATTGAGGTTTTCAGCCAAATATCTTGCATGGTGTTTGTGTTATTTCAAGTCAACAGTCTTCCTTGATGTTCAACAGGAGGGTCACTTATGTGTGCTGCCGTCATCTCTAAGCAGTATACAAGGAACACAATACAATGAAAATAAAAATTGGTTCAAATGCTAAAATTAGAATCCAGTTATCATGTCTGCTGGAATGAAAACAGGCTTTGGTAGATACCAAATGTATCAACAGGCAGGGGAACTATTTGACCTTGTCTTCTCACCAAATGAACCTCG